GCTGAACTGAGCTGGACAATGACATCACTGAATCAACAATGAACCGACTTTAACTGATTGTTTTCTATTGTCCTTGTGCATTATCAGCACATGTTTTTTCTGTTTGACACTGTAAATCTGCTTTGACACATCTGCTTTGATCTGTATTGTATAAAGCGCTATATAAATAAAGGTGACTTGACTTGACTTCACTTCACTATAATCCACAGTGATTTAAGGCTCACCAAGAATTATAAAGATAACTAATAGCACCAACCTTTGATGTTGCCAGTAGGGAGAAAACATATGGCTACTTGTGGATGAAATTAAACAACACAGTTTTAATATTTGTAGACATAGATATCAAGTTAAACTGCTAACTTTTAGTTAATAAGTAATATTCTGGCGTGTAAACTCTTTGCACAAGGTAACCTCAGATGCTGTCTGCGTGCAGTTAGTGTTGTGGTGGTCAGCGAATCTTTCTCTGGGACTGATCTGACAAGATGCAACATTTTCTGCAAGGAAATCCAGTGCACTAGCCTTCTTATCAGCAAATTCATCAAGGGGAGGGATATCCCATAATGCCTCATTACTGAGACTGCTGGGCAGTGAGCGCTGTTTCTGATGTTGCCAGAAATCAGAGGGTGATGAGCAACAGGAAGATCCATCAACCAGTGTGAAATCAGTGTCCGTCTGGCCACCTGTGTTTCCCCAACGGAAGTTATTTTTACAGCAGCTTTTACGGCAAGCCATTTCTTCAGGATCATCCCATGAGCTCTGACTCTTTGAATCATGTGTTGACTCTGCTTTCAGCTCTGCAATGCTAATCGTATAGCTAATATTCTCGCTGGTGTTTTGTTTGTAACCTGCTCCATGTTGGTTCCATGAGTAGACGTGTGTGTTTTTTGGAGATTGATGATTCTCAGTTCTAAAATGAGCCTCTTCCCTTTTGTCTCTGCAGTTTTGAAGAATAAAGGTGGTCTTGATATTTGAATCATCTGATGTCACGACATTGATCTCAAGCTTCATATTTGGGCTCATGCATTTGACCTCAGTGGTTGTGACTGCTATCACACTACTAACCGTTGCTTCATGGCATCGGTCGAACACAACTCTGGGAGAAGACAGTCCAAAGTTATCGATGGTCACAGAATGTGTGATTTTTAACCCTGGACCTCTGTCTATTGGTTCTGAGTTTGGCTTTTGTCTGTATTTTTTCTTTTTGTCCAGGAAGAAATCTTCACAACTCCGTGTTCTGATTTCTTTCTCCGTGGTTGGAGTCTCAGTCTCCTTCTCGTCTTCAGACACTGACAGTACATGCTCTTTACAGAAGGAGTCAGTTTCTCCCTTCTCGGCAGCTTCCACAGTGTCCACCATAGTGTGCCTCTGAAAATTATATGGAGAGATGCATTCTGTACAAAAAGAAAAAGAGGTTTAGATATTTTGCATTGCACACCCCTTTCTTGATATCTTTCTCCAGTCTTATTTGTAACAGAATCCTTGTTAATGTTTGAAGGAAATAGCCAAAAAAGTTTATTTTAGCAATCATAATGTTGTTTAACCTATCAAGGAAATACTTTATAGGCATATCCACCTTATTTTTAATGTAATGTGCAAGGCTTCTGGTGTCACCCATTTCCAGTTATTTTAGCAGTATAAAAACACTTATGCTGCTTGCAGTGCTGGGTATTAACTAATTACATGTAATCTGGATTACATAGTCAGATTCCAAAAATTAAGATTATATTAAATTTTAACATACTCATAATCAGACTACAGTTACTTTATATTGACTACGTATTATTCACACAATAGCAATAAATTATTCAGAATTGATTGATTTTTCATCTTTTAAATTTTCCTTTCTAAAATGGCCTACAGTTTATAAACATTCAGAAAGTCTTCCAGCTGTATGGACATTCATACAAAGACCAGTCATTAGTCAGGAAGCTATAACTACACAGAAAACTGAGACAGCATTTGATTTACAAAAATCATTTTAAATTTTAAAAGTGTTTTCTCAACATTTCAATGTTGCATCAACTACTGATGGACACATACATTTTTATTTGAATTATCACTCAGTGTGTTTTTTTTTTACCATATATTAATATGTCTTTGGAAGGCTTCTGTCATTCAAATACATTAAAATGGACAAATTCACATTATTTCTTGCTTACATGTAATGTAATATTTGTAGTATTGTGATTCCAAAACTTTTTTTTTTGTCAGCCAAAAATATTTTTACTTGAAGTACCCCCTAAGATTGTAAGGTAATAAGTTAATTATTAAGTAACGCATTGACATATTCACGTTTCTCTGATGTTGGTTAATGGTCACATGACATGCAGATGTTTTATTTGGATTGTTATTATTTTAAAATGATTTATTTTAATTTTACATTTTTATGATTGAATTCATTATTAGCTTTTATTAAACTCACAAACCCCAGTTTGGGGAAACCTGACGTAATGTAATGTTTAAAGCATTTCATGTTGTTAAAAACCAATATCGTGGAATTTTCTAATAATCAAATCAAATGTTCGTTCTCTTTGCATTTTTATAGCAATATATTAAAAGACTACCATATTTAAATCAATGATTGAAATGAGTTTACATTTTTTTCTCCTGCACTTGTTTTGTGGTTTAACTGTTCTATAACTTGTTTTATTTTAACTTAGTTTTATTATAAGTTCAAACGAGTTTGGTCAAAAGCAATCCAAAAGTAATTAGAATGTATATTACCTAAATGTGCAATGTAATGGCTTATGTTACTAACTACAGTTTTTATCATGTAATTTGGAATCACTAATGGATCACAGTTTGTAAGTAAGCAAAAAAAAAAAAAAGGTATTTGTTATCATATTATTTCAATTTATTATCATAATCATAAACACACTGGCTTGTATTGTAGTACAAATAGTCTTACCTGCACTTTGTTATTCTTAGTTATGTACCTACAACAGCCAATGAATCAGAAGTCTCACACATACATAAGTATAATAGCTTACTTCCGTGTTGCAAAACAGGGTGGAGAGAGTGACCTCAAATAGTATTTGGACACGTAAGCCACACTTGTCTCGGCGTCTGGATGTCATTATGAAGAGCTCTAGTACCATTTATTTGCAAATGCCTCTAGATTTGATATTTTGTTATCTAATACAATGATTTTCTTGTGTGTGACTTATACTTTTTGGTGCCAATGTAAGGGCATTACGATTATATTCTAAATATAGTCAACTATTCTAAATTTTGTTTTTCGAACATTTTTTTGTAAAAATATAATTTGGTACATTTTCATTGTGATTTTATAGATTTCAAAGCAGATTTCAGTGTGATGGCGAGTGCTGTGAGAATAGGCGTCCCCTAATCGGGCACCTGTGTCTGGGCTGTGCTGCAGGCGTGGGCTAAACGTGACTCAGACGGTGTTTAGAGGATTACTGTCCACACATGGCCCAGGAGCCACTTATAGGTCAACACTCACGTTTACTGCTGCTGGAGCTCTTCCTCCTGCGACTGTTTCTCCTCTTCCTCCGACTCATTCTGCTGGATGTGTGACATCTACAGTCCTGGACACTAAAACATAGAAACATGGTGCAATTTCATCATCTGTGTCGCTGGTTATTTATAAATACACTATCATTCATTGTGAATTCATGTTCATTAATGGTAATTTATGCAAGTTGAAAATGTATTGTTATATGTAGAAATGAACAATAATCTAGATTAATAAATGCTGTTAAAGTATTGTTCATTGTTATTTCAAATTACCTCGTACATTAAGTAACTATTTAATTTTAAATGATCCTTTTACTAATTAATTCCAAAAAGTCAATTTTTTAAAAGCTATTTGCAAGTCGGTCAACAAACAACAAACAACAGAAATCGCTCCATAATTGCGACCTTAGTTTGTAATTCAGGGACTTTCTCATTTAATTTCATTGTATAATAATGGAAGACAAGAAATACTATGACAAGTGTATGTGTCTGACTTGCTAATTTTGCAAGAGTCAGCAAAGTCCTAACCTTGCCACAACAAGCACTTACTATAGAGACACATTCAAACTATATGGAACTATATGGATCCAGACAAATGTATATTCTTACCTTAAGGCAGTCAGTCACGTTTCCACTGTGGTTTCTTTAGAGAAGTAATGATGTAAAGGCAGTATCTGCATAAACAGCAGCTGATATCAGGGCACTGCTCCACTTCTTATTGTTCTATTCTTGACATAAAGACCAGAAGGAGCTTAAATGAACTAATCCTCCTCAGACCCAACCCTGTGTCAGTATATGAAACACCCTTTTGAAAGGTAGCCAATAGCATTTCCTCTTTAGTTTTGGTAAGGAAATTAATTAATTAATTTATTCTTTCTTTCTTTCTTTCTTAAAAATGAAATGAGAGAATCAGTTAACTTATTAATTAATAAATGAAATAAATATATTTTAATTATTTATTTTTTATACATTTTAATTTTATAAATTAAAATAAATTATTCATATTTAAAATGGACAAATAGCTATATTTATTTATATATATATATGTGTATCTATAAGTATTCAGACCCCCTTAAATTTTTCACTCTTTGTTATATTGCAGCCATTTGCTAAAA